TGAAGGGTGGACCGAAACACCCCCCTTCCCATGAGGTTTTAGTCGCCCCCACACTCCTGGCTCATATCTGCTGTCCACAAGGCTCCCATGTGGCCGCCATCTTTCTTTCCAGAGAGGAGAGGGCGAATGGGGCAACACCCTTTCCCCTCCGGGCAGACTTGATGGCCTGGATCAACGTATAGTCCGTTCACTTTTCTGCTCCAAGCTGCCGGGTTCTGCATTAAGTCCTTGTGCTTCTGGGGCCGTGGCTGTGCTGGAGAGCCGCTCGCGGGGGGGCGACTGGTGACCTCGGTAGGGCGTGAAGGGTGGACCGAAACACCCCCCTTCCCATGAGGTTTTAGTCGCCCCCACACCCCCGGCTCATACCTGCTGTCCACAAGGCTCCCATGTGGCCGCCATCTTTCTTTCCAGAGGGAGGAGGGCGGAAGGGAGCAACACCCTTTCCCCTCTGGGCAGAAATGATTGCCTGGATTAACGTATAGTCCTTTCACTTTTCTGCTCCAAGCTGCTGGGTTCTGCATTAAGTCCTTGTGCTTCTGGGGCTGTGGCCATGCTGGAGAGCCGCTCGTGGGGGCAACTGGTGACCTCGGTAGGGCGTGAAGGGTGGACCGAAACACCCCCCTTCCCATGAGGTTTTAGTCGCCCCCACACTCCCGGCTCATATCTGCTGTCCACAAGGCTCCCATGTGGCCACCATCTTTCTTTCCAGAGAGGAGAGGGCGAATGGGGCAACACCCTTTCCCCTCTGGGCAGACTTGATGGCCTGGATCAACGTATAGTCCGTTCACTTTTCTGCTCCAAGCTGCCGGGTTCTGCATTAAGTCCTTGTGCTTCTGGGGCCGTGGCTGTGCTGGAGAGCCGCTCGTGGGGGGGCGACTGGTGACCTCGGTAGGGCGTGAAGGACGGACCAGAACGCCCCCCGACCTATGAGGTTTTAGTCGCCCCCCACACCCCCGGCTCATACCTGCTGTCCACAAGGCTCCCATGTGGCCGCCATCTTTCTTTCCAGAGGGAGGAGGGCGGAAGGGAGCAACACCCTTTCCCCTCTGGGCAGAAATGATTGCCTGGATTAACATATAGTCCTTTCACTTTTCTGCTCCAAGCTGCTGGGTTCTGCATTAAGTCCTTGTGCTTCTGGGGCTGTGGCCATGCTGGAGAGCCTCTCGTGGGGGCAACTGGTGACCTCGGTAGAGCGTGAAGGACGGACTGGAACGCCCCCCCTTCCCATGAGGTTTTAGTCGCCCCCACACTCCCGGCTCATACCTGCTGTCCACAAGGCTCCCATGCGGCCGCCATCCTTCTTTCCAGAGAAGAGAGGGCGAATGGGGCAACACCCTTTCCCCTCTGGGCAGAAATGATTGCCTGGATTAACGCATAGTCCGTTCACTTTTCTGCTCCAAGCTGCTGGGTTCTGCATTAAGTCCTTGTGTTTCTGGGGCTGTGGCCGTGCTCCAAACTTAACTCTGATTTTCAGGGAGAAAGATTGGGTGGTTTACTTCTCATTGGTCACTTTGTATATAGAGAGATGTCGCTTACGCGGCTTACGCGGCCGCGCGGTTTTGAGAAAAAGTCCTAGTTCCCGCATACTCGAGCTGTGTTTGTAGAGGCTTCTGGTCACCGGGGTTCCACCTGGGAGAGGCGGGATGCGGCACCTACCCCATCTGAAACTTGCCGGTGATCTCGGCTCTTTTTGGAACCTGTTTTTTTTTTTTTCCTCCGGGATCTGTGGTTCCCGCACCCTCCATGTGGTCCTTCTCTTAGGCTGAATGCTTCAAAGATGGCGCTGGGGGGCGGGCTGTGGGTGTGACTTCCGGAATCAGAGGTTACCTGGGAGCTGTAGTTCGGCAGATTGGAGAAAAAGTCCTAGTTCCTGCATACTCGAGCTGTGTTTGTAGAGGCTTCTGGTCACCGGGGTTCCATCTGGGGGAGGCGGGATGCGGCACCTACCCCATCTGGAACTTGCCGGTGATCTCGGCTCTTTTTGGAACCTGTTTTTTTTTTTTTTTCCTCCGGGATCTGTGGTTCCCGCACCCTCCATGTGGTCCTTCTCTTAGGCTGAATGCTTCAAAGATGGCCAGGAGTACTTTTTATTAAGCCACTGATTCGCTAATTGAATTGGGCATAAACTCCGCCTTACTTTTTTTTTCATAATTGTATTTATTTTTTTCTTCTTATATTTATTTATTGAATCACTATGGGAAAAGTTACAAAGCTTTCAGGTTTAAGTCTCGGTCATACAATGATCAAATACCTTTCCCTTCACCGGTACTCATTTTTCACCACCAAGAACCCCAATATACCCCCCTCCCACCCCTCCCAATGCCTGTGAGGCAGATGATTTCTACTTAACTCTTCTCTACATTGATTACATTCATTATTTCGACAAAAGATGCACCAATATTGTTTAGAATTTCCCCCCCAACAATCAGAATTGCTGAAAAGGCATTGTGAAATACTTTGTTTTCTATAACTGGTTATGAGAATCATATAATGTCACGCGGCCACGATTTTGGATTTTTGCAAAGACCAGATAATTATGAGATTGGTTTCTGTGCATCTGGTGTTATGGCTGTGCCAGAGAGCCGCTCATGGGGGGGCAACTCGTGACCTCGGTAGGGCGTGAAGGACGAGCAGGTACTGTCCCCCTTCCCATGAGATTGCAGTTGTCCTGTCACTGCCAGCTCATACCTGGCTTTCCAATAAGCTTGAGGTGGAGGCCACCTTGCTGCCGGGGGGGGGGGGGGGGAGTCGGAAGGGAGCAACACCCTTTCCCTCCTGGGGAGGCATGGCGCCATAGTTTAATGCATGGTCCATTCACTTTTCTGCCACAAGCTGCCGGGCTCTGGATTAAGTCCTTCTGCCTCTGGAGCAATGGCCGTCCCAGAGAGCCGCTCATTGGGGGGGGGGGGGGGGGTAACTCATGACCTCAGTAGGGGGTAAAGGACGAGCCGGTACCATCCCCCTTCCCATGAGACTCCAGTTGCCCCGTCACTGCCGGCTCATACCTGGCTTTCCAATAAGCTCTGAGGCAGCATAGCATGTAACATTTAAATAGAAATTGATGTAATTGCTTTTCCCAAGTAGCATATACTCCCACTAATATGGCAGTTACTGATGCTTCCTGCAGATATATATTTATATTTATATATGTATGTATATTATGCCAAGTTACCAAACAGAATTATGAGTCTTATTATGGGACTCATTGTTTTATGACAGTATGCCCAATATTTTAGAAGATATTGGGCAAAGGATGCAAATGGATTTTATATATACTATTATATTCCTGCTGCATCTTAAAAAGAACAAACTACAGCACAGCATTTGTTACAACCTTGAGGTTCTTGGTTTTGTGCATATTTAGACTAACAACCTAATACTTCATTTTTCCAAATGCCCACATGAACGCTGGTGACAGATGGATAAGGAACAGGCTTTAGCTGCTCTACTAAGGACTCAGGACACAGTTCTTTATCTTTTATTTTTATCTTTTATTTTTAAACTTCTTTTTTAGATACTGTGGCTTAAAAGAAATTGTTATTGTAGGTCTCATACATACAGCATTACACCACACTCACCTTCGGAGTGTCTCCAAGCTTTCTACTTTCAACTTTCTGTTGCCTTTAGGTATTTGTTATTCCCCTCCTATGTTTCTTTATATTCTACATGAGAGAGATCATCGTGTCTGTCCCTCTCTTAACTTTACTAACCAAGATACTCTCCAGATCCAACCATGTTGCAGCAAATTGCAGGATTTCAATTTTTTTTTAATAGCCAAGTAGCATTCCATTATGTACATGTACCAAAGTTTCTTTATTCCATCATCCGTGGACCCTTGTGTTGTTTCCAGGTTTTGGCTATTGAGAATAGTGCTGCACTGAACACAGGGTGCAAATGTCTTTTTTGAATAGTTTTTAGGTCTTGGAGTTGACGCCAAGAGGCGGAATTGCTGGGCCATATAGAAACTCAATTCCTAATTTCTGGTAAGTGTTCGTATTGTACAATCACTTTTATAGTCAGAGCACAAACACATTTTATAGAAGTTATTTAAAAATGTAACTCAAAGTACAAAGCAACACAAAGTAAAGACCAAATCTTTCTGCTAATTATTTTTAAGAAAAAGTACATCAGTTGGAGTGCTCAAGGACATCTTTCTAAAAGAGCAAGAACTCCCACACAATGCATTACACAGTGCTCTGTACACAACACAGTAAGTGTTCAATAAAGACTCACTTTGAGTGCATCATTTACTCTTTAACATGAAGTAGATACCTTTGGTTTTAGAGAGGAAATTAAAGACTTGAGAGATGTAATTAACTTTATAGAGATCACCAGTATAGGTTGAACTAGAATTCAGGCAGATGCAAGTAGTAACTGTCTTACAGTAAATTACTAACTAGCAGGCAGTATTGAAGTTTCCTTTCAATGACTACAAATAACTTGAGAGTAGGGACTTTTAGTTGCCTTCTCAGTCTTGTTTGGCTAAGTGACTTTTTTAGCCACTATAGTTAATAATTCGAAGCCAGGTAACTTAAACCTAGGGTTCAGATTCTATCAATAAAGGCAACAGCTTGTTACCTACAATCAAAATGGTAATACTAATTAACTTACCCCCAGGGCCCCTGAAATGGTGCCCAGGAAGCTCAGGAGTGAGACTGGCAATTCCCAGGCAACTTTGGTCAACCATTTAATGCAAGGGCCTGCGGCTAACCTGGGGGACTACGTGGTGTCAGGAATTGAACAGGGTTGGGAACATGCTAGGCAGCCCACTAACTGCTGTACTATCTCCCAGCTTGAGGACAAAAATCTTTAATAGCACGAGGGGTAAGATGAATGATAAAGTTGGAAAAACATTTTTGTCACTCCAAGTGATGCTCAAGCATTACTGGGCCTCAGAACAAAGTATTTTGTGCTTGTTTACCAAAACATCAGGAGATATGAAAGCATCTGCTATCCACTCTCGCATTTTTTCCCTGTCCCTCCCCTGCTCTCCCTTAGCAATGTATTTTGAACATCACCCTGAATTTGTGTGTCATCCTTGTGCAGGGGCGATGCTAATCTTCTCTGTATTGTTCCAATTTCAGTATATGTGCTGCCGAAGCGAGAAACTGTCTGAGTTCATCATGTCAACCAAGACCATCCATGGTAACTCACAGTTCCAGAAGGCCGAATCTAAACGTTGGACATGGGAGTCTCCCGGTGGACGATTCCACAAGAAATAGACCACATCATATTCAATTGACGGTTTTGCCTGACCGATGTCGCTGTTGTCCCAAAATTCCAAACGGGATTGGACCACCGTCTCCTTCTTGCAAAATTCTACTTCACAGAATGGGGAGAAAGGGCTGCAAAGTTTAAAAAGAGAACTCCCAGAATGACCACCAACTGGGAGCTCTTTGGCACTATTGCAGCAACATGGGAAGATGCCATTGTTGACAACATTGATGAGGAATACAATCGACTGATTCAGCACCTCCATGATTGTGCGAGGAACGCCAAGAGAGAGATAGCCACAAAAAAATGCCTGTCTTCGAAAATTCTTGAGCTTATTCGCCAACGTGATTTGGCGAATGCCTCAGACAACTGCAAGCAAACATCTGAGCTCGCAAAGCAGTGCAGAGATGCGATCAAGGTAGACCTCAAAGAGAGAAGAGTAGAAGTGCTGGTAGACGTGGCAGAAGCCGGGAAAAGTATTCGTAACATCCGCCTGTCCTTCGCCAACTACAAGACCAATATGACTGCCCTCCGACGTCCTGATGGATCTATCACATCTTCCAGAACGGCAATGGGGAAGATTATCCGTGACTTCTACTCAAATCTCTTCGATAGCCATGTCCACTTGCCGACATACCAAATTCCACAGGATGGATATGTCGTTCCCAATGTTCTCCCTTCTGAAATCCGACATGCCATTTCGTCAGTAAAGAAACGAACAGCACCCAGCCCAGACAAGGTCAGACCTGAACACCTGAAGAACCTGCCGTCAGTACTCATCAATACACTGGCTCGGCTCTTCACACGCTACCTGTCTGAATGCAAGGTTCCGTCCCAATGGAAAACCAGCAGAACTGTACTACTGTACAAGAAGGGAGACATCCATGACATTGGCAACTATCGCCCGATCTGCTTACTGTCTGTCATCTACAAGTTGTTCAATCAAGTCATCCTAAATAGGATTGGCAGAACACTAGATGAAGGACAACCATGCGAGCAAGCTGGGTTCTGAAAAGGATTCGGCACCATCTACCATATCCACACGATAACCAAGCTCATTGAGGTTTCTCAGGAGTTCAAGATGCCGCTCTGTCTAACGTTCATTGATTTAAAGAAGGCCTTTGATTCTGTTGAGACGGAAGCGGTCATTGAAGCCCTAGCCAATCAGGGCATTCAAGCATAATATATCAAGATCCTCCGTGAGCTGTATTACGGATTCACTACCAGGATCTCACCATTCTACAAAGAAGTAATCATTGATGTCAAGAGAGGGGTTCGGCAGGGTGATACCATTTCACCGAAACTCTTCAGTGCCACCCTCGAGAACATCATGTGACGACTGGAATGGGAAGAAATGGGAGTGAAGATAGATGGTCAGCAACTACACCACCTCCGCTTTGCTGATGACATTGTTTTAATAACACCAAACATTAGCCAAGCAGCACAAATGCTGGCCGACTTCGACCGTGAGAGTGGAAAGGTCAGACTACAGCTGAATATTACGAAGATAATGTTTATGAGAAACAGCCTCGTTCCTGATGCCCCATTTGCTCTCAACGGAACAACCATCTCCAAATGCAACAGCTATGTGTACCTAGGTCGAGAAGTCAACATGACAAATGACCTGGCACCTGAGCTGCGCAGGAGGAAGAGAGCGGCTTGGGACGCCTTCAAGAGCGTCAAAGAAATAGCTAAGAGGACGAAGAACCTCCGGCTCTGGGCATATCTCTTTGATTCATTCCACTGTTCTTCCTGTATTAATATACGCCTCAGAGACCTGGGCCCTACGAAAACAGGATGAGAACGCTATTCGGGTCTCCCAAAGAGGAATTGAAAGAGCTATGCTTGGAGTATCATGTTTCACTCAAATGAGAGAAAGAACCCGGAGTTCCGATCTCTGTCGATGATCAAGAATCAGGGACGCTGTCTCGTTTGCCAAGACGTCAAAAATCAGATTGGCTGGTCACGTAATGAGATTTAGAGACGACCGCTGGACTACAGCCATTACCAACTGGATTCCACGGGATGTCAAAAGACCGCGTGGCCGCCCACCTACCAGATGTTCAGACTTCTTCATCAAGATCATGAACCATCGGTTTGAGGCTCTTCGTGTTCCTAGAGCTAACAGACGCCATTGGGCTACACTAGCACAGGACGGGGACAACTGGAGACGTTATTGGTGCCCGCTCAAGCAAATCGACAATTAACGGGAAGTCAAGTGATCAAGTGATCACCCTGAATAGCTTGTACAAATATTTTCTTTATAATAGCTGTAAATGCTACATTTACCTCATTCCCCCTATAATAGAAATTTAGATTGTTTCAACTTATTAGTCATTAAAAAACAGTTCTGTAGTATACTTTCATACTTATCCTTATATGTGTGTATATATGTAAGCCATTTTCCAGAAGACTTTTTATTATCTATTTTTGGGGGGGCTAAGGGGGGTTACATCAGGTGGTACTTGCAGTGGGGCAGTTATGTACTGCCAGGGATCTAAATGGGGTTGACCACATGCAAGTGCCTTAACCTTTCTACTCTCTCCAACCTCCAAAAGGGCATTTTTAGAATTAAATATACAGTTAACATTTTGAAATGGTGGATAATAGGCTCTACAAGATTAGACAAATTTATACTTTGATGTGTTTTCTTTTATTGGGCTGGGTCAGAGAGCTATTACTGCTTTTATGAAATATAATTGAGACTGTATATTTAGTACATAACTTTTGAAACATCAAAGAATACATATTCACAATTCAAAGAGATCATCTGCCATTAATCAATCATCTTTCATTATAACCAAGTAATTAAGAGTATGGGCTTTGCAGACAAACAAATATAGGTGCTACTTTCAGCTCTAACATTTAAAATCAGTAAGATGATGAGTGATTATTTAGTCCTTTTAGGTCTTGAATTATGTTTTTGTGAAATTAGAGAAATAATAGGGGATTGGAGTGGTAGCACAACAGGCAAGGCGTTTGCCTTGCACGCAGCTGACCCGGGTTCAATTTCCAGTCTTCCATATGGCTCCCCTAGCACCACCAGAAGTAATTTCTGAGTGCAGCACCAGGAGTAACCCCTGTGTATCACCAGGTGTGACCCAAAAAGAAAAAAAAAAGTGTCTACCCACATGAGTAAGTGTCTACCCACTTACTTTTACTTTACTTTATGAAAGTTAGTATACAAAGTGTTTATAGAAGAGCCTGATTAGAGTATGTTCTTGACAACATACCATATGATGCAAATGATTAATGTAACAGAGTCATGTATTTACTTATTAAAAAAATAGGGAGCAGGGAGGTAGTATGGGGACTAAGGTATTTGCCTTGCACTCAGTCAACCTCTTTTGATCTTCAGCACTGCCAGAAGTGAATCCTTAGCACAAAGTCAGGAGTAAACCTTGAGAACAGCTGGGTGTGATCCCAGAACAAAGGTATACAAACAAAAAAAGTAAATACAAAAAAATCAACAATGACCTGATTTTAACTTTTGGAGTCATTCAGTTCACAAGAATATGTAACCTTATTCTTAAGCCCTCACAGAAACAAAATTCATTGCAGGCTCAGAGAAATTTAGAGAATATAAAGTTCTAATTAAAGAACTTTGATTACAAGGGAGGTTTTGGTTTAAACTACAATATAGTTATGAGTTTTTCCACTGAAAACAAAAGAAACTCATTGATGGCATTTCAATAATGAGTGCTAAAAGTACATTAACACTATTAACTTAAAAATGACTAGAAAGAATATTAAATTTCTGGGCCAGGGATATAGCTCAGTGACAGAACAACTGCATATAGAAGACCTTGGGTTCAATCCTTGGCACCAAGAAAAGATATAGAGCTTCAATGGTGCGACTGACTTTTAGCATTCCTTTCAATAGATTCCAAGTACTGGAAGTTTCCTAGAGGTATAGTCATTTCAAATCTCTCTATATAGGAAATTGTAACATGTTCAATTTGAGATATTAAAAATATTTTAGAGACAACACAAAAATTATTTGTAGTTGAAAGGTCAAATTTATTATGAGAGTGAGAGAGATGTGTTATACACAGACTATAAATACTGCACAGCTGACTCTATTCACAGTTGAGCACAGAGATATAGTCATTGCCAATCTACTTTGTGGAGACTCTTGTTCTTTTGTTCCAAGAAAAGTTTGCGCCATAAGACTTGGACTTGGGCTTCGGAACCTTCCTCTCTTCAACGTCATAGCGCCATCCTAGAAAATAAAAACAAACAACCCACAGGAACAACATTAGAGAGGATACCTGAAGAACATAGCAAGCAGAGGCTAACTTTCATAAATTTAATGTTCATTTATCATCGAGAGTACATGTCAACACATCTGAAATATAAATACTTAGTAATTTGTTCCCGTATAATCCTGTATGACAAGAGGGTCAAAAACATTGCCTAAGATTTAACATCTCTCAAATTAAACGTGCAACCCATGATTTGATTTTTCCTAACTCAATACTCTTGCCCAATAACTGATCGTTACATACTATATAAACATGCTCATTACTTTATATAGTTTAATATGTGATTTTTAGTAACTATAATGCACAACATTAAAAAAACATGTAAGCACAAATCACTGTTTTCTGAAAACTGGTACCTTTATAACATTTAAGAGCTCAATACTAAAAATCACATGTATGTACATTTATGTATGTTAGTTACCACACTGGCGTAGACTATGCAAGATACTTGATTCAGTCCCTAAACTGAATCAAGGCTACTTACTAAACTTAGTTTTTCAACATGTTTCAAGTACCTTGTAGATTAGACTCCTATGGAAATAGTTGATTGAAATATAAATTTTTCTTTTTTGGGGTAATATTACTTGTTTGCTTTGGGACCACAACCAGCTCTGTGCTTCTGGTCCATGCTGTGCTGAGGATCAAATCCAGAACTCCCTGTATGCATTAGTATGTACTCAGACAGTTTAGCTATCTCTCTGGTTCCTCAATATGTATTTTTAAGCCTCACCAGAAATCCACCGATTAGAATCTTTAGTGGGAGTTTGGGAACTGGCATTTAATTGATCCTGGAATTTTTTTTTCTTTTTTGCTTAGAAATTCAAGAACCACTGGCATAAGCTATTTTATTCTTATACTGTATAACTCTTCTTTCCGCAGTCCTTTACAATGTGTTTATGAGTATTTAAACTGATCTATATCTGTCTTCTGCTTAAATCTGATTCTTCAGTTCTATTAAGCAATGCAGAATAATCAAATCAACATCCTCTTCCTTGAAAGCATGATTTAGTTGCCCCCCATCTATTCCCTAGTTCAATCAACCTCTATAACTTTAACTTTTCTCAGAAGATCAATTTTTCATCCCTGCAACTTCATTCTTGTCTCTCAGGACTTTCTTCAATAATTCATCTTGAAACATTTATGCTGAGTCCTGCAGTTACACATAAAATATCCAAACCAAATTGTTACATATTTTTCAGGAAGACTCTTGATCCCATGAACTGTCATGTATTCATTCTAGCATTTCTTAGTGAGTACAGTTTAGCTGCCATAAAGTTTCTGTTTCAATAGTTAGAATTCAACTTTGCCACAAAAGTGAAATTGAAGTAATCAAAGTACTACTGGCTAGTTTGGTCACCAAAATAAGCAAAAGCAGTATTTCCACTAAAAGAATTGCATCACCAAAAATTTTTCTTTTTTCTTTTTAGTTTTTGGGTCACACCTGATGGTGCTCAGGAGTTACTCCTGGCTCTGCCCTGAGGAATTACTCCTGGCAGTGCTTGGGGGATCCTATAGGATGCAAGGAATTGAATCAGGGTTGGCACATGCAAGGCTAACCCCTGTACTATCTCTTTAGCTCCTTTCATTTTGTTTTGTAAATACATTAAAAAAAAACTTTGGTTGTATTTAAAATGTATTTGTGGAGCTGGAGACATAGCACAGCTGGTAGCGTGTTTGCCTTGCACGCGGCATACATGGGTTCAATTCCCAGCATCCCATACGGTCCCCTGAGCATTGCCAGAGTAACTCCTGAGTGCAGAGCCAGGAGTAATCCCTGTGCATTGCTGTGTGTGACCCAAAAAGCACACACACAAAAAAAGTATTCGTATTGCCTACTTAGCTGCCCTCAGGTGGCCTGGTAAGCCATGAGGTGTCAACTTGGGTCCTCACACATGCAAGGAATAAGCCTTAAGCCCTGAGCTCTCTTCCTGGCCCCTGAAAAAAATAATTTTAAGAATCCCTGGAAATTAACAGTCATCCATGTGTCTTCCCCATCCTTCTGCCATCTCTCCCTCTAACCCCAGGTGTACACAAAAGAAATAAATTTCTAGCACAGGTTGTATGCATAGTTATAATGTTTGTTGGCAAATTACGCAGGACCTCCATGAATGTTTCTTGTCAAATGTGTGAGAGAACCTGTTTCCTCCCACCGCAAACTCTTCAGACCAGTAAAGATGTCATAAGAGGATAAGAAGAATGAGTCAACATTTAAAAACACTTAGAAACAAGTGTCATAGAGAAACACACACCTGACCAACATTCTCTCACTTATCTGGCTAATATCTATATTTCCACTACCAGGGAGAGAAATGTACCTATTTTTAACGGCAGACATAGCTCTAGAATCTGTTCAGACACTGAAAACGCTGTCAGGGTCACTGTAATGTGTTGAGGAGACTGAGGTTTGTACTCGTGAAAGAACTGGTTTGGGTTTTCTTCTGGTAACTAAGGCACATGTGCGCTGGCTCTTAAGAAATGGAGCCAGGTCATGGCTGTTATTGATGGTGATCGCAACAGAAGTATCACTACAGGGACTGGAATGTGGATGGGCAAAGCATTCTGCACTCTACGAAAACACACATGAGGATTTTGAAACTGCAAATAGTAAGCATCTCTGTTTAATTACTACTGCCAACCAGGACTGTTAAATGCACAGGGGGAAATTTTTTTCCCCCTCAGTTTTTTTGTTTGTTTTTCCTTTTATGTCATACTTGGCAGTTCTCAGGGCTTACTCTTGGCTCTGTGCTCAAGGATCACTCATGGTGGGGTTGAGGGAACATACACAGTACCAAGGATCAAACCTGGGTTGACTGTATGCGAGGCAAGTCTCTATCCATTGATCTCTCTCTTTGGCCCTGTTTTTCCTCATATTTTTCCGCAGAGAACAACTCTTTTCCTAGAATTCCAAAAGAACTGTGTTTCTCTGACTGAAAGCAAAGAAAGGACTGGGGAAATCTAATGCTAATTCACAAAAGATTGAGACCCTAGTCAGCTAGAACCTAACACACATTCTCCTTTGGGTTTTCTAGCCATTACTAAAAAAAAAAAAAAAAAAAACCTATGTCAAGTTTATGTGAAGCTTTGTTCTTTCTTAAGAACTCTGAAGAATCTGACCACATTTCCAAGCATTCCTCTCCAATTATTTTTTTATCTTACTAACCAAATAATATTGTAGTATATAAAGGCTACTGAAGGAAGCAGAGAACTTTAGCCAGAAAAACCAAATTAATTACGAATAATATCTGCAAAGACATTATGTTTAAGTTTACACTTAATATAAGTTTACATTTATAATGGCTATGCCACATGAACTGAACTCATCTTTATACTTTCCACTTGAAATTTGTTTGTAAATAGAAATAATGTAACTTGCAAGAAGTAGAAAAAAAGAACGGAAACTTATTTGTGAAATGTTTAAATTCCTTTTGCAACCCTCCAAATAAAGTCTTTTAAATTTCTGAACAAGTTCACGGATATAGAAACACCTGCTTTCCCTAAAAAAGCTTATATAAAAATCAAGGTGTAGTCTACAATAATGGGCCCATATGTTGTCCTGTTAGGATGCTGAAAACCGGCCCTTGCTCTTCCCAGCTGTGCAGCAGCAGAAGATCAAAGAAACTGAGTCCCAGGCAGCTGCTCCAGAGATGGAATAAAGCTCCTAGGGCTGCCATCACTTCCCATGGAGGAGAGCAGCCATATGGCATGGATTAGCCACAAACCCAACCAGCAGCACCTAAATGATGATTCCCTTTACTATTTCACACTGTAATGTTTGCACAAGGAGATTTTTTGAACTCTTAAGTTGGTATGATAAGTACCTCTGGCATATGTGTTACTAAATTCAAATGTAATTCCCATCTAATTTTTTTTAGAGTTATGCCTATTTATTTTTATGATCTCAGGATAATGACTGGAAAATTTTATATATATATATATATATACACTCTATGACATAAATGTCACTCTATGACATAAATGACATAATCTTTTCAAATTTCACCCCTCTTCCAAAAAGATACAGAACTAAAGATGATTCAATTAAAATTTAAGTCCATGTATGGGACACAAAATTTCATTTATATTTACAGAATCATTTTATTGTTCAGTTATGTAAAAATACAGATAAATACTCATTAGTGCTTTATTGCTTATGAAATATTTTGCCTGTAGTAACCTTTGTTCAAATTCCATATGAGGTCTTTCTCCTCTAGTAACCTAATGTCAAACCATGAGTTCGGAAGTGAACAGTATTAATGGTTTTTCCTACTAGCTATTTGTGTACAAAGCAAGAACCACCACATATTTTGGCAAAGCTTGATAGTAACTGGCAGTTACCACTACCAGGCATGGTATCAGAATAGCAAAGCTTTTGGAAGCCCAAAGCATGTTGGTACTTGGAAGATTTCATGATTTCTTACCAGGCTATGTATCCATATTATGCCTAGGTGAAAGGAATGCAGAAATTTAAAATCTAAGTGGATTGTTGTGGATGGGGGTGGGCACAAGCTAGTAGCTTTTCAGGAATTTCTTTAAAGTTGCAAATTATCTGACAGCAGGGGTGGGGAGAAGGTTCAGAATAATTCAAAAACAAAGTATCTTAGAAAACATAATAAAGGAATATTTTGGATAAACTGGCAAAGCAATTCTTTGAACTAAAATGATATAAAATGAACCAACTAAGAAAATAAAAATGCAAAAACACCAAAATATTAGCTTGATAGCACTATGTTACTACCTACCACAGCCCAACACCTCAAAAAGAAAAAAAAAAAACTTTTGATGCAACAGTCAATGGTCTCCTTAAGTTTTATCTTTCTAAAAAATTAGTTTTAAGATGCTGTGATTGAACCCAGGTCTCATGCATTGAAAAGGATGCATTTTACAACTGAGCCATATGCCTGGCACTCAAGTTTTATCCTTAAAAGTAATATTTGCCATCCAACATCATTTCTAAATC